GGTTTGAACTCAGGGCCTTGCTCTTACTAGGCAGGCACTCTGCCACCTAAGCCATGTCCTCAGTTCTTTTTGCTTTTGTTATTTTTCAAAAGCAGTCTTACTTTTTGCTCTAGTGGTTAGACTGTAATCTCCTAGTTGTGCCTTCCATGTAGCTAGGATAATAAGCACACTAACTATAATAAGCCTAACTATTGATGGAGATGGAGTTTGGTGTAGAGGAAAGCATTTGTACTTCTTTGTGTCAAATGTCAAAACAGAAGCAGGAACGACTTTTCCTCATGGGCAAGCCAGCATTGTGTGCTAGGCCAAGGTCTTAGCTGAACTCTACTTTCACTCTGAAGAAAACAAATCCTAGTGCAAGTGAGCTCTTAACATGCTGGTGTGACCTGTATCTTCTATGACCCAGGATGAGATTCAAGCATTCTTGAGCATCAAAACTCTATTACTGAGAGCAGGTGAGAGAAACCCCTCACATCTCCCCAGGGCTCTGCCCACCTACCTCCATCCTCCACCCAGGGCCAAAAACTGCGGTTTAGCTGGGCACCAGTGGCTCACACCCCTAATCCTAGCTACTCAGGAGGCTGGAATCTGAAGAGCATGGTTCAGAGTTAGACCAGGCAAGACCGTCCATGAGACTCTGATGTTTTTTTTTTTTTTTGGGGGGGGGGGCGGGGGTAGGCTCAGTCATGGGGCTTGAACTCCAGGCCTGGGCACTGTCCCTGAGCTCTTTTGTTCAAGGCTAGCACTCCATCACTCTGAGCCACAGCTCCACTTCCGGTTTTCCAGTGATTCATTGGAGATAGAAGTCTCATAGACTTTGCTGCCCAGGCTGGCTTTGAACCACAGTCCTCAGATCTCAGACTCCTGAGTACTAGGATATAGGTGTGAGCTACCTGCGACTGGCTCCATGAGACTTTTATCTCTCTTAATCACAGAAAAAGCTAAAAGTGGTGCTGTAGCTCAAGTGGTAAAGCCTTGACCAAAAGGAGCTTATGGACAGTGCCCAGGTCTAGAGTTCAAGGCCCAGGATCAGAAAACAAAACAAACTCGGGTTTAAGTAGGTATTTCAGTTCTCAGGGACGGAATACAGCTTTCAGAGCTTCTGAACCCTCAGGGAGAGAGGTGGTGAGAGGAAACCTTGGGGCCACCCCCTACTCCATACTGCTCCTTAACAAGGACTTCTATCCCCTCTTATCCATCTCAGTGTCTGCCCCAACTTTTAGTTTTTGTTTTAGCCCTAAATGTAAAAATTCAGAAGGCTGATGTCATGGAACTCATGGCCCTTTAAAGTCTTGTGGAATCCTGTGGCACTTTTTTGCAACTTAATGTGGTTTCTACCGAGTTTCCTTAAACCTTTTTTTTTCTCAATTGTATATTAGTATTAAATTATATTTTTACCTATATCTTGCAAGTAAAAAGTAAAAAAAAATAAAATCCGTGTGTGTGTGTGTGTGTGCGCATGCACGTGCATGTGTGTGTGTGTGTGTGTGTATGTTTTGGTACTGGGGCTTGAACTCAGGAGCCTTGTATTCTTGCTTGGCTTTCTCACTCAAGGCTGGTGCTCTACCACTTGAACCACACCTCTACTTTTTTTTTGTTGGTCATGGGGTTTGAACTCTGGGCTTGGGCGCTGTCCCTCAGCTCTTCAGCTCAAGGCCAGTGCTCTACCACTTGAGCTAGAGTGCCACTTCCGGTTTTCTGGTGATTTATTAGAGACAAGAGTCTCATGGTCTTTCCTGCCTGGGCTGGCTTTGAACCATGATCCTCAGATCTCAGCTTCCTGAGTAGCTAGGATTACAGGCGTGAACCACCAGTGCCCGGCCAGCCTCCACTTTTTTTTTGTCAGTCATGGGGCCTGAACTCTGGGCCTGGGCACTGTCCCTCAGCTCTTCAGCTCAAGGCTAGTGCTCTACCACTTGAGCCACAGCACCACTTCCGGCTTTTTCTGCTTATATGGTGCTGAGGAATCAAACCCAGGGCCTCAAGCATGCAAGACAAGCACTCTACCACTGAGCCACCTTCCCAGCTCCTCCACTTCTTAAAATCCACTTTTAAAGCTTGTTCTTCATAAATATATGTTCCCAAAGGCTTTTCATGCAGTTTCTGTGGTAGATGCAATTCTTAGTAGTGAAGGGTTAAAATACCCAGTGCTGTCACATATGGCAGTGAGGAGAATCACAGATGTTGAGGATACCATGTAATTAGTATTCTTTCATGTAAATGAAGGCTGCCAACATGTGTCTACTCACTGAAGCTGGAGTCTGTGCCTCTTGGTCTCACCTAGACCAAGACCAAGTAGGATTATTCCACAATCCTTAGTTAAGAACTGAGAAAAAAAATGAGAGGAAACAAATAATAGTTACAGTAGATTCCCTTTATCTTTCTAATTTTTTGGAATTTTCTTTTTTTTTCATGGTACCTGGGTTTGAACCCAGGGTTTTTTCCTTGCTACCACTTGAACTACTCCTAGCCCTAAAAGACATTTTCAAGCTATAGGATTTTGTGATGTATGTGCCTTTACTGGAACTTGAACTCAGGGTCTCAAGCTCTCCCTTGGTTTTTTTGCTCAAAGTTGGTGCTCTACCACTTGACTTATATCTCTACTTCTAGCTTGTTGCTTCCTAATTGTAGATAAAAGTCTCACAGGCTGGGCTGGGAAGGTGGCTCAGTAGTAGAGTGCTTGCCTTTATGCATGATGCCCTGAAGGAGATTATGTTTAGTTAGAAAATGGATAAATTACATATCCCGAGAAATGTTTTAAAGAATATGTAGGGGGAAATTAGTAGAAAATAGCAGTAGCTAGAATAATAATAATTAGAAAAATATAGTAGAAATTAAGCCCTTAAAAATAGTCAAATAGTCGGGCACCGGTGGCTCACACCTGTAATCCTAGCTACTCAGGAGGCTGAGATCTGAGGATCGAGGTTCAAAGCCAGCATGGGCAGGAAACTCCATGAGACTCTTATCTCCAATAAACCACTCAGAAAACTGGAAGTGTTGCTGTGGCTCAAGTGGTGGAGCACTGGCCTTGAGCTGAAGAGCTGAGGGATAGCGCCCAGGCCAGAGTTCAAGCCCCACAACTGACAAAAAAAAAAAACAACAACAACAGTAGTCAAATAATGTCATGATCTAATTTGACTGAAGATAATCTGTCTACATATTATTTTCCTTTGTGTGGTTTGAGGGTTTCTTATCTGCAGAGCAATCTTAAGGGGGGGGGGAGTGAGAGAGAGAATTTCTGGTTTGGGGATTTGGGGTGAGGAGACTTTAAGGTTCCAAAGAATAAAAAAGGTTTATTGTAGCCAGGCACTGGTGGCTCATGCCTGTAATCCTAGCTACTCAGGAAGCTGAGATCTGAGGATCATGGTTCAAAGCCAGCCGGGGCAGGAAAGACCGTGAGACTCCTATCTCCAATAAACCACTAGAAAACCGGAAGTAGTACTGTAACTCAAGTGGTAGAGCGCTTGTCTTGAGGTGAAGAGCTGAGGGACAACACTCAAGCCCAGAGTTCAAGCCCCATGACCGACAAAAAAAAAAAGGGGGGGCTGGGAAGGTGGCTCAGTGGTAGAGCAATTGCTTTGCATGCATGAGGCCCTGGGTTTGATTCCTCAGCACCACATAAGCAGAAAAAGCCGCAAGTGGTGCCTTAGTTCAAGTGGTAGAGCTCTAGCCTTGTGCTGAAGAGCTCAGGGACAGCACCCAGGCCCAGCGTTCAGGTCCCACAACTGACAAAAAAAAAGTTTATTGTAAAATAGTTATCTAGCTTTAGTCCCTGGAATTATTGACTATTAGGTTTTTCTGACTAATACTGAGTAAGTAATGCTAGAAAGGAAAAAGTGCGGGGCTGGGAAGGTGGCTCAGTGGCAGAGCACTTGCCTTGCATACGTGAGGCCCTGGGTTTGATTCCTCAGCACCACATAAGCAAAAAGAAAAAAGCCAGAAGTGGCGCTGTGGCTCAAGTGGTAGAGTGCTAGCCTTGAGCTGAAGAGCTGAGGGACAGCGCCCAGGCCCAGAGTTCAGGCCCCATGACTGGACCCCCCCCCCAAAAAAAAGAAAGGTAAAAGTGCTACCATGGGTTACGGAAACATTTTCATGTACATCATCTAGCAGATTCATTCCTTTTGTCATCTTGTCCTGATGGTTGGCAGCAATATTGTCATTCCAGTAGGTTGAGTCCAGGCCCTTTCTGGGCAGGTACACTACTGTTTGAGTCATGTCCTTGTTGAAAATGCAGAGTTTTGCATCTTGAGTTTACACTCACACTGGGAGAGCATTTGTGTTTCCTGCATAGTTGGAATGATAAGAGTCGTGCACCACCACTCAGCTTGTTGGGTTGGTAGCGGGGTCGCTAACTTTTTTTTTTTTTAACCAGTTCTGAGGCTTGAACTCGGCTTGGGCACAGTCCCTGAGCTGCTTTTGCTCAAGGACTGTGGAATCGAACCCAGGGCTTCCTGCATGCTAGGCAAGCACTCTACCACTAAGCCACCTTCCCGAGAGTTCCTCGGAGGTTGCTAACTTTGGTCATGGCTTGACTCAAACTGGGATCCTCCCAATTCCTGCCTCTTGCATAGCTAGGATTATAGGGTTGACAGTACACTGGGTTACCCGGTTAGGTTTGTTTCATTCTTTTCTGACGTATCCTTTCACTAAAGAAAATGAAAATGTGCCAAAGTATTCCACAAGATGTAAACATTCTTTTCAAAGGGACAGACATGTTACTTAAAGTGAGGCTCATCGGAAGTGAGATGTATAGAAGGCTTTCTGTAGCCTAGCTTTCCCTGGTGCTACGTCTCTGCTTGGAAACACCTTGTGCCCAACCTGAGTGTGCCTTTTTGTGCAAGGCGCTCAGCTGTGAATTGGAAATGGGGTGATTTCAAAGGAACCGATTTTGAGTTGAAAACGAATGGCTCTTAAGTTGGAATGCCCATGGCAACAGCCCCTCCGGTGGGAAGCTATTTTGCTTAAAGAATTCTTTTCCTTTTGGGGGGTCGCTGTGCCAGGTTAAAAGCGTGGCGACTGCGCGAGACATGGATAGATGCAAACATGTGGGGCGGTTACGGCTCGCCCAGGACCACTCCATCCTGAACCCGCAGAAGTGGCGCTGCCTGGAGTGCGCCACCACCGAGTCGGTGTGGGCGTGCCTCAAGTGCGCGCACGTGGCCTGCGGCCGCTACATGGAGGACCACGCGCTGAAGCACTTCCAGGAGACCGGGCACCCGCTGGCCATGGAGGTCCGGGATCTCTACGTGTTCTGCTACCTGTGCAAGGACTACGTGCTCAACGACAACCCCGAGGGGGACCTGAAGCTGCTGAGGAGCTCGCTCCTGGCCGTGCGGGGCCAGCAGGACCGGGCCGGGCGCGGGAGGACGCTGCGCTCCATGGCTTCGGGCGAGGACGCGGCCCTGCCCCCGCCGCCGCGCGCGCCTCACGGACAGCCGCAGATGCTCACGGCGCTGTGGTACCGGCGCCAGCGCCTGCTGGCCAAGATGCTGCGGCTGTGGTTCGCCCGGAGCTCGCGGGGCCGGGCCAAGCTGGAGCGTCGGCGGCAGGAGGAGGCGCTGGAGCGCAAGAAGGAAGAGGCGCGGCAGCGGCGGCGCGAGGTGAAGCGGCGGCTGCTGGAGGAGCTGGCCAGCGCGCCCCCGCGCAAGAGCGCGCGCCTGCTTCTGCTCGCGCCCCGCCCTGCCGCGCCCGCCGCGCCCGCCGCCCTGGCCACTGCCCGCCGCGCCCCCACCGCCGCCGCCGCCAGCCCGCTCAAGCCGCGCCGCCAGCCCACCGTGGCCCCCGGCGTCACAGGCCTGCGCAACCTAGGCAACACCTGCTACATGAACTCCATCCTGCAGGTGCTCAGCCACCTCCAGAAGTTCCGGGAGTGCTTCCTGAACCTCGACCCCTCCACCACCGAGCACCTCTTTCCCCAGGCCGCCAACGGCAAGGCCCCCCTCCCCGGCAGGCCGGCCAGCTCTGCCACCCAGCTGTCTGCCAAGAGCGACCGGGTGGAGGGCCTCTGCTGGAACGGTGGCGCGTCCATCAGCCGGAGCCTGGAGCTCATCCAGAACAAGGAGCCCAGCTCCAAGCACATTTCCCTCTGCCACGAACTGCACACCCTCTTTCGAGTCATGTGGTCCGGGAAGTGGGCCCTGGTGTCGCCCTTCGCGATGCTCCACTCGGTGTGGAGCCTCATCCCCGCCTTCCGCGGCTACGACCAGCAGGACGCACAGGAATTTCTCTGCGAGTTGCTTCACAAAGTACAGCAGGAACTCGAGTCCGAGGGCTCCACGCGCCGGATCCTCATCCCCTTCTCCCAGAGGAAGCTCACCAAACAGGTCTTAAAGGTGGTCAACACCATATTTCATGGGCAGCTGCTCAGTCAGGTAAGTGTACACTCACCCCAGCCCCGGCTCTGCCCAACACAATCAAAGAAGCTTGGAGGAAGTTTGGCTTCCTGTGAATGGCTCCCCACATTCCCAGCTAATGAGTATGGCCAAACGTTTTAGGGGGTTATGCATATTTGAGGGTACCCACTGTACCATACACTGTGTTGGCCTTGTTGGTGAACTTGCCTGCTCTTCCTGAACAGATTTTTGGTTTCACTGGCCACACATGGTATGTTCAGTGAATGAAATCATGGATAACCCACTATTCCGGTTGTATAATTACTCACTGTTGCCATCCCCCATCCTTTAGCCACTTTTAGGAAACTGAACAGAATTTGCCTGTTACCTTGATGCCATAGTAGCTGTTGAACATTCTTTTCCATCACCTACAGGAGGAGCAGTGTGGCTAGCCTGCCAAGCCTCCTTCCTGTACCCTGTCACCTTTCCTGAATCTGACCAGCAGTAACCTAAGCAAAGATTTCTAGTGAAAACAGGAGGAAAGAAAATATAGATTTTAAAAGTAGGGGCAGGCAGCTTTGAAGACAATGGTTTCATACCTTGACTTTTTAGAGTTTTCAAAGACTGGTAGGTTGGGAAGAGAAAGTTTATTGAGGCTTTTTTTTTTTTTTCAAGCATGGGAAGTGCATCTGGGAAAGTTGTAAATGTGAGGAAGTCTGAGGTATGGTGCTGCAAGAAGCAAGGGCAAACAGGCAAGTTGGCCACATGAAAGGGCCAAGTTAAGAGGCTCTTGAGAGCAGAACCTGCCCCCAACCATGCTGCCAGCACCCTAACCTGCAGTGTGTGCTGCTCAGCCTGCAGTAGAGAGCACACTGTGAGAGGAACCTGGTGGGTTAAATGTTTTCTCTGTGGTTTCTCTAATATGTCATTAGTGTCACATGGTTAGAGTGTGTATCACATTTTAATACTCCAGTTCTTTAAGAGTATGTGTGTGTGTGTGTTTTTCTGGCACCAGGGTTTGAACTCAAGACCTGGTACTCAGCTTTGCTTACTTAGCTGGTACTCTAGCATTTGAACTATGCCTCCAACTCATGTTTTTTTGTGTTTTTTTTGGGGTCCGGTCGTGGGGCCTGAACTCTGGGCCTGGGCGCTGTCCCTCAGCTCTTCAGCTCAAGGCTAGCGCTCTACCACTTGAGCCACAGCGCCACTTCCGGCTTTTTTTTTTTTCTGCTTATGTGGTGCTGAGGAATCGAACCCAGGGCCTCATGCATGCAAGGCAAGTGCTCTACCACTGAGCCACCTTCCCAGCCCCTCCAACTCATGTTATGCTGGTTGTTTTGGACATGGAGTCACAAATATTTTTCTTCCCAGCCTGGTTTCAAACCACAATCCTCCTTTCAGTAGTCTTGAACTAAGGGCCTGAGCATGCTGTTTCTGAGCTTTTATGTTCAAAGCTAGTGCTCTACCACTTGAGCCACACCTCCATTTCTGGCTTTTTTGGAGGTTAATTGGAGATAAGAGTCTCTCAGGTTTTCCTGCCTGGCCTGGCTTTGAACTGTGATCCTCAGATCTCAGCCTCTGAATAGCTAGGATTATAGGCGTGAGCCACCAAAGCCTGGCAATACTATGGTTTTTGGTTTTTGAAAATTATACACTTAGTTTTGGTAGTAATGTTTTATATAAAGCAAGCAAAATTATATGTGTAAAATATGGAAATTATAGATAATATGCAAACCAAACTTTTTATTCTAGGTCACATGTGTATCATGCAATTACAAATCCAATACCATTGAGCCCTTTTGGGATCTGTCCCTGGAATTCCCTGAACGCTATCACTGCATAGAAAAAGGGTTTGTCCCTTTGAATCAGACAGAGTGCCTGCTCACTGAGATGCTGGCCAAGTTCACAGAGACAGAGGCGCTAGAAGGGAGAATCTACGCTTGTGACCAGTGTAACAGTAAGTGCTGGGTAGAGAACTGGGCAGAGGGGCGGGGGGGGGGGGGCAACTGGAATGTCATTTGAAGGTGCTTCTAAGTTGTCTTTTAAAGGCTTTCCCCATTTTCTGAAAATAAGCAATATAGACTCACTTGTTTTACAAACAAAGATCTAGGGCACAGGTGATAGCTCATTTAGAACACTCCGTTAGGCACCGTGCTTATTACCTGCAAGGTCTGAGTTCATCCCCACCACCGCAAAGTCAAGGAGGAGGGTCAGAGTTGGAACTGCTTTGTCCTCTCCTGACCCACATCACTTTTTATTTTGGGTTGAGAATATTAGTGCTTAACTTCACAATACAACACAGACTGTGCTACAGGTCCATGTAGTCAAATGCACATGGCTCATTCCAGGGATGTGATATCAGAGAAGCCTAGATGTTATAACTGCAGAAGTGATGCTAACAATTGCTACAGCAGGAGCAAGGCAGCAGATCTCAAGGTGCTCAGTGGCAGTTCGTTTTCTCTCACATGCTTGCAAGGCTGGCACTTCACAGAAAGTCATAGAGAAGTATTTCTGTATTATTTCCTTAATTTTAAATTAGGTTACCCTGGGCATCTTATGTAGTTTCTTCTGTCTACTAACACTTGATGCTTCTGCTAACCCAGCCTGCTCAGAAGAAATGCAGGGCAAAAATGTAGAAGCACATATTTAGTTTTTATGGCATACAAACATTTGGAAACTAAAGACATAAACTTATGCTAGGAATGTGGCCTAGTGGTTCAGTGCTTGCCTAGAATGCATGCTGCCCTGGGTTCAATTCCTCAGTACTACATACACAGAAAAAACAGCAAGTGGTGTTATGGCTCAAGTGGTAGAGTTCTAGCCTTGAACAAAAGGGGTCAGGGACAGTACCCAGGCCCTGAGTTCAAACCCCATGACCAATCAAAAATCTTACTACATTAACATTTCAAAGTATTTTCCACATTAAAAAATACTAAATTGTAGGAAACTTACCTATGAAGAATCAGGACCAAAAAAAATCATACTTTATATCTTTTTGTGTGTGTGTATCAGTCTTGGGGCCTGAACTCTGGGCCTGGGTGCTGTCCCTCAGCTCTTCAGCTCAAGGCTAGCACTCTACCAGTTGAGCCACAGTGCCACTTCTGGCCTTCTCTGTTTATGTGGTACTGGGAATTGAACCCAGGGCTTCATGCATGCTAGGCAAGCACTCTACCACTAGGCTAACTTCCCAGCCCCCACTTTATATATTTTTGCCATCTTAAAAGTTGAAATATTGGCCAGGTGCCAGTGGCTCACACTTGTAATCCTACTGTGCATAAAATTAAAATGTTATACTTGACTAAGTATAAATTTACCTGTCCTGCTGCTCCATTTTGAGATACCTAGATGAGTTAAATTGGAGTAACCCCAGGGATGGTAGCTCTCATCTGTGATCCTTGCTACTCAAGAGTCTGAGATCTGGAGGATTACAGTTCAAGGCCACCCCAGGCAAAAAACAGTTCAATAGATAACTTCTTAAATAACCAGCAAAAAACAAGACTGGATGTGCAGCTCAAGTGGCCCTGAGTTCAAACCCCAGTACTGCCAAAAAAAGAAAAAGAATAAAGAAAAAATTGTTTTATTAGAGCAATTTTTTTTGGCGGGGGGTCCATCCTGGGGCTTGAACTCCAGGCTTAGGTACTGTTCCTGAGCCTCTTTGTGCTCAAGGCTAGTGCTCTACCACTTGACACAGCGCTACTTCCGGCTTTTTCTGAGTAATTTAACAATTTTGTTACTCTTGGATATGACAAATTAGGCAAGAAATAACTCTTATTTGGTTTTACAGTTTTTACAGTTAAGGCTTGTTTTCTTCAGTTTCCCTGTGTGCCAACTCCTCAGGATTGCTTTAAGCAGGTGCAAATAATGGCAGGGAAGGAAAGCTGTGGTGAGGGGATGGGCTGCACTGATCTATTGCATGTGATGCTTTGGAATGTCTTGTCTTCTGCCTCTCTGCGTCCACCTTAATCACACCAGGACAGAACTGATCGATCTCAATTGAACCAGTAATCCCTTTTCTTTTGTGAATTTCATTTAAGGAAAACAAAGCCTGGGTTATACATTATTTTCATCTGGGCTCATACACTCCCTCTGCTGGCCGTGCCAGTCACTGCCAGGTTCCCAAACAGCTGAAATGATTTTCAGAAATCCTGGAAATGGAAAACAGGACTCCTCTCTAATGCTCCTGTCCCCACCTGTTCAGATTGCATGCTGGCTGCATACTCATGATGCAGTCTGCCATGAGCAGTGACAACTCCACCTTCTGTTGTCATAGAAAGCTGTGACAAATCATCAGAAGAGACTTGGAATTAGTGGCTATATCCATCATACACTGAGACCATGATAGCAATGGTTGAATGAACAGGCATCTCAGTGGACCACTAATTGTATATTTTTAACCATTTACTTCTTTGATTATCAGTAAATGATTAATTATAGAGGCTTGTGATGGGAACGAAAGAAAACTTTTTTCCATTGTTTATTTGCTAAATATTAGAAATGCATTCCCTGCTTCCCCCCCCCCTCTTTTTTTGTTCCGGTTTTGGGACTTGAACACTGGGTGGGTGCTGTCCCTGAGCTTTCTTCAAGACTCCCAGCTTTTTGGTAATTAATTGGAGATCAGAGTCTCATAGACTTTCCAGCCTGGGTTGGCTTCAAACTGCAGTTCTTAGATCTCAGACCTTGGCCTCCTGAGTAGCCTGACATGAGCCACAAGCACCTCGCTACCTTTTCCCTTTAGAAACAAAATTAGTGTCAAGAACACAGCTTCTGTGTCGGACTGAATGAACTTGTCTAGGCTACCAGCCTTGTCTCATATGTCCAGGAGTAACACTTTTATCTAAGAAGCAGGTTTAAAAAACCTGGGTGCTGGGTGCTGGTGGCTCGTGCGTGTAATCCCAGCTACTCAGGATGCTGAGATTTGAGGATCTTGGTTCAAAGCCAGTCCAGGCAGGAATGCCCATGAGACTCGTCTGATCGCCAATAAACCACCAGAAAACTGGAAGTGGCGCTGTGGCTCAAGTGGTAGAGTGGTAACCTTGAGCTAAAATGCTCAGGTAGATCACCCAGGCCCAGAGTTCAAGCTCCACGACTGACCAAAAAAAAAAAGTATGGCATAAAAACAACCAACAAGGTTTCTTTTCTAAATATTTGTATATATTGCATGCAAACCATGCTGAAATTTGTTTAAATATCTTGTTGCTTTAATTAGCATACATTAATTATGCAAGGAGGGAACTATGATAGTTCTATACATATGTATACTATGTATTCTAGTCAGTGTCACACCCTTTCTACATTTTGTCTAACCCACTTCCTAAATCAATTTCAGTACATTTTGTTGTTCCACTTTCATACATGGAAATGATCTACTTCATTCCTATTCTTTCATCCTCCTTGTTAATGCAGCCCCCTCTCACAGTCCTTTAGTTCTGAGTATTGAATATGTGCATTACACTCCATTTACTGGTGAAGGGAATTGAGGTTCAGATTTTTTAATAACTTACCATTTAGTACACCATAGCTGGGAGGAGGAACTAGAGTTAGGCCTAACGCTTTGTAAATTATATCATAGTGCCTCACAATTTAAGTGGGATCTATACAGACATAGAACCCTGGCCTAGGCTGCTTTGCCTGCAAACTGTTGGAGTAATCATCCATTATACTGCCATCAATAAATCAGGACATCTGGAGTGCACCAACCCGAGCCCATACCAACAACACACTTGTTTTTAGCAAAAATTTGACAGTAAATATATGAGGATTCGATTTGGTTGCTTGTTGCGAGTTAGAGTAAGATATATTTGTATTTGTCTGTTAAGTAGAAGTCTGGAGGGCATTCAGGGGCTGGCAGGGTGGCGGCATGCTCTTCAGGACCCTGACTCCTTTCTGTTTTATTGTCCTGTTGTACTGCAGAGCTTCTGTTCCCACTCAAGGTTACCATGAGGTAACCCAAAAACATTCTAGGAAACTGGGAAGAGCAAAAGGATGCGCTGCCTCCCCGCCCCTCCACCTGCCCCCCTCCCATCCTAGGGCTTGAACTCAGGGCCTGGGTGCTGTCCCTGAGCATCTTTGTGCTCAAAGCTATGAGCCACATTGCCACTGCCAGCTTTTTCTGAGACGTTTATTGGAGATAAGTCTCACAGACATTTCTGCCCAGGCTGGCTTAGAACCATGATCCTCAGATCTCAGCCTCCTGAGTAGCTAAGGTATAGGCATGAGGCACTGGTGCCTGGCAAAGGGATGCATCTTACAATTGAACCAGCCCTCTTTTCTGGTGATAGGTGACAGGATTGGGGTCTGAATTCAAGGCCTCACTAGGCAAGCCCTCCCTGCCCCAGCCACTGTTTTTGTCATAACTATGAAAAAGTAAGACACCTCACAACCTATGTCTTATGCCTTCCCAAACTGTGTAGGCAAACGACGAAAGTCCAATCCAAAACCCCTTGTTCTGAGTGAAGCTAGAAAGCAGTTAATGATCTACAGACTACCTCAGGTCCTCCGGCTGCACCTTAAGAGATTCAGGTGAGCTTGTACGGGGACTTCTAGATGGCTGTGAGCTATGGGAATAGCTGCCGCAAAGGCCCCTTGTGTTGGGAGGAGAAATCTGCTCTTGAGATTTGGAGCTTTCCATGGAGACTGAATGGTTCACACTGAAGAATGGGCAAGCCAGTACTAGAGCCAGCAGACTGGGCTTTGCTCTGTGGGTCTGTTTCATGCCTGTACTGATGTCTGCGGCTAAATTCTTCTAGCTGTGCTTTGGCTATGTAGATTTATCTTTAGGATGAAGTATAATTTGTGAGAAGTTGGCAGGCAGTAATATAAACTGATTGCCAGCTTATGGATTTCTAGGTTTGAATATTTTATAGAAAATTCACAACAAATGCATTGGGTATTTCCATTTTATTAATGGGAAAACCAGAACTGAAAGGTCGAGTTTACTTGGTTCCCTGTTTTACCTAACTCTCCCTCTGCTCACATGTGCCAGTCTTAACTAGTAAGAAGTTTCTGTCACATTCTAGGTGGTCTGGCCGTAATCATCGAGAGAAGATTGGGGTCCATGTCGCCTTTGACCAGGTATTAACCATGGAACCTTACTGCTGCAGGGACATGCTCTCCTCTCTTGACAAAGAGACCTTTGCCTATGATCTCTCCGCAGTGGTCATGCATCACGGGAAAGGGTTTGGCTCAGGACACTACACAGCCTATTGCTACAACACAGAGGGAGGTGCGTGCGCTTTACTCTGTGGGGTGGGGGACACGGAAAAGGGTTGGTGTGTTCACATTTTATGCTTTCCTTTTATTTCTATGCCCTGGGTCACCTAGAGGGAAGTTATGTATATTCAGATCCAGTGAAAGTAATTATGAATGTTGGTTTCCAGTTTGGGATATATACCAAGTAACCACATAAAGTGGTTCTAAGAATTAAAAGGAACTGGCTCAGGTAAAGTGCTTATTAGATCCATGCCTGCTCAGTGTTGAAGGTTAGTGTAGAGTTGTCAGCAGTACTGGTTATTAATCATTTCCCCATCCCTGTGGTTGTTTACTTCGGCACTCTCCGCTTCCTCCTCAGTTATGAATGACCAGTAGCACCTGTGCAAACTCATGGAGGCATGCTGCAAATTGCACTAGCCTTGCTTGCCATAAAGATGAGGACTATCACGGAGTCCTTTCTGTGTCCTGACTGACCACCTCCCTTACTCTGGGGCGTGGAGGGATGCCGGGGCCCCTCCAGAGGAGCTTATAGCCCTTGTCCCAGGGTGGAGCCTCCCACCTACTGCCTTGAAACAGATGAATGGCAGGTGGATTTCCAGCAGTGCCCTGATCTTGAACCCTTCAGCCCTTGGGGAAGCCAACAGCTGCCTCTCTTATCCTCTAGTTCCCATTACCTCTCCCTGCTATTTCCGTTTTCTCCACCTCTCCCCATATCTTAGTCCCTTATATCCTGGCTGTCTTTGTGGCCGTTATAATGGACAATGAAAAAACCCAGTAAGATGAGGATGGAAATTACACTGAGTTGATACTATAAGCAGTCTTTGTGGTCAGGTTTGGTGGGGCAGAAGCCAGTGGTTATGAGGAAGCCTGGTTTCCTTCACTTGTCCTTCCCCTCCTCAGTGGTCAACGTGCAGCGATCTCCTGTGCTCCTCTCTCCCCTTTTTCATCTCCTGGTTCTGAAGCTGACTAGAAATATAAATTGGGTAGTTATTTTCTCTCTTTCTCTCCTTTGGTTTCCTAGGTTTTTGGGTTCACTGCAATGACTCAAAGCTGAATGTATGCAGTGTGGAGGAAGTGTGCAAAACCCAGGCCTACATTCTTTTTTACACTCAAAGAACAGTGCAGGGAAATGCAAGACTCTCAGAACCCCAACTCCGAGCTCAGGTGCAGTCCAGCAACAAGGATGAAGGCAGACCACAGACATTCCCCTGACTGGGAGGCGTATAAAGACTGCCTTGCTTTGACTCTATTGATGTCCACACATCTTTCCTCTCATAGAAAATAAGGCCTACTACAAGAGCAGATTACTAGGTTTGCCTCACTGAGTCTAGAGTAGAAGGTGATTCCTGTCCTGTCAAAATTTGTAGTCACTTTGTGTTGAATGCATTTGGAAATTCCCTCCTTTCATAAAACACCAAAAGGAGTAACTTCTATGGAGACTTCCATCATTGCTCTGCATATGATGAGGATCTGGGTAGAGGAAGGGGTAGACGTATGTTGGCAAGCCAGCCAGGAGAATGTCCATGGCCTCTGTCCATTACATGAGGCCCCTACTAGTCAGGACCTCCTCATAGCACCAGAAGAATGCTCTCCATATGAGCAGTACTGGACAGAGCCTGTGAAGAGGGGTGCTGGGCCAGCAGCTTGCAGGATGGGATGGTTCCAAAGTGAGGGGTGAAGGTGAAAACTTGCATACTTCCTTTTTAGAGGGCAGCAGTTGAAGAGTAGGAAGAGATGCATGGAGTTTCCACGGGCAATGCCCTCCCTGGCTGGGCTGTCATCTAACCATTCCACACTTCCTTTCAGTGCAGGCACAGCTCATATAAGCAGACTTGAACATGTTCTTTGTTGTATGCTGAGCCAAAGGCACTGGCTCTCCCAGCGTGTAGCAGATCCCTGCTTCAGGTCTAGGGCAAGCTTGTGTTTTGCTTTCAGCTAGTCTGTGGTTCATTGTCTGAGGCTTCCTCAAGGTGCAGTAAGGGTAGGAGGCCTTTTCTGAATGTCTGCTGCCTGTTCTCCCCTTGCTGTGGCATGTAGCTTCTCTCCTGCACCCAGAGAGCTAAGGTATTGGTGCTCCCAAGGGCCTGGACATTGCTTAGACTCCATTCCTATGTGCCTATCTATTGTTGAAGGCCCTGGCCCGTTCCCTTCCCAGTCTGCTACTCTACTGTGGCTTTATCGACCTGTCCCCAGTCCATCATGAAAGCCAGCAAGAGGGCCCTGTCCTTTACTCTAGTACTTGATTGGGTCCATTTCTCAATGATGCCCAAACAAGCCCTTCCCGTCAGCGCCACCCCACTTTGTAGCGCATCACTGAGGGCAGTGAGGGCAAAGCCCAGGCTCATTGCAGTGGGTGTGCAGTGAGGGCAAAGCCCAGGCTCATTGCAGTGGGTGTGCACCCCTCCCCCCCATGCATGCTCACTAAATTTGTTAATGCTTCAATACAGGTAGAAGTGCTTGAAGGGAGTAGATGTGGAGGAGTCTGGGTAGAATGGACACAAGAAGGGCAGGGCTGAAGGAGGAGGGTTCTAGCATTAGCAGTTTTGATGAGCCACATTTCCCAGGCACCTATAGCATTTGCTGTTTACATCATTTGCAATAAACTCTCCCCTAGGACCTGCCAGAGAGCACTGAGACATGAAGAGACCCAGACAGAAAGTGGCTCACCCTGATCAGGATGGAGTGACTATGTTTTAAATTGAACTTGCTTTTTCCAACACTGTGAGGTTTCTATAATATTTAGCTTTTATTTGGAAGCGAGAGCGTATGGCATTTTTATGCTGTTTGGTTTATAGTATCTACTGCAGGCTTCTCTGGGTGATGGTTGCCTGCCTGGGCTTACCCTCCTGGACACTGTTTTAAAGTGTTCCAGCTGCCCATGCTGCCAGCCTCTGATAGGAAGCTGTGCTCCTGAGGTCCACATTTCTAAGTTGGCATAACAGTGATCACTTATTAGGGCAGTTGGAAAGCCATTAACAATAAACTCTCCAGGTATGGTGACACACACTTGTAATCCAAGCACTTGGAAGGCAGAAAGATTGTGAGTTCAAGGTCAGCCTGAGTTACATAGTGAGACCTTATCTAAAAAGTGAGAACTTTTTAAAAAGTGCGAGTTAAAAGGAAAAGGAAACAGAATGGCACCTCACCTGGAATCTGTTTACTAAATACTAGAAAGAGAACTTTTAGAGAATTCAAGCCGGGCGCTGGTGGCTCATGCCTGTAATCCTAATACTAAGGAGGCTGAGATCTGAGGATCGCAGTTCAAAGCCAGCCCGGGCAGGAAACTCCGTGAGACTCTTATCTCCAATAAAAACCACCAGAAAACCAGAAGTGGCACTGTGGCTCAAGTTTTAGAGTGCTTGCCTTGAGCTGAAGAGCACAGGGACAGTGCCCAAGCCCAGAGTTCAAGCCCCACGACAGACAAAAAAAAAAAAAAAAAAGATAGAGAATTCTTCTTTGCTGTCCACAGGGAAATACTTAAACCACAAAAATGGAAGCCGGGCGCTGGTGGCTCACGCCTGTAAATCCTAGCTACTCAGGAGGCTGAGATCTGAGGATCGCGGTTCAAAGCCAGCCCGGGCAGGAGAGATCGTGAGACTCCTATCTCCAATAAACCACCAGAAAACCGGAAGTGACCCTGTAGCTCAAGTGGTAGAGCGCTCACCTTGAGCTGAAAGAGCTGAGGGACAGCACCCAGGCCCAGAGTTCAAGCCCCACAACCGACAAAAAAAAAAAAATAATATATATATATATATATAAAAAGCTTCAATTTTGGTCTTCAAAAGTAGTTTCATGTCAAATTCTATAATTACTCAGTAGATTAAGGATTTTGTAAAATTAAAAGGAATGCTAATTTAGCTGAGCCATGTTATCAAATTAATAGTTACTTAAAATTAGTTGGAATAGAAATAAGCATCAGTATGTCCACTGTCGTGAAGGTACCCTCTGCAGTCAGGAAGCCCTCAGGTACCAGAGGCAGCAGCACTGCACATGTAGGAAGGTGCTATTTGGGGAGATTTTTATGACAAGAGTTCTCTACTGTATATGTCAAGGTTGTAAGGAAAGAATGTTCCTCTTCCTTTCATTATTTATACATTCTCGCTTATTGAAATGTTCTACAGAGCAGAGAATAAAGACAGGTGGAAGTTGAGCCACTGCTGCCTGGTCACGCCCATGGTCTCCTGCCCTTCTTTCTGGAGCTGCTTCTCTCCCAGGCAAGTAGTTGAGACTTTTAAAGAACCCTTTGTAGTTGGCTGGCCTGTTTACTTGCTTCTGTAGCCAGCCAAAATGAATGCACTCTGGCCCTCAAAGATTTCTTACCTCAGTCTAGCCTGCCCCTCAAACCTGTTTGCCTCTAAGACTATCATCCATACTAGTGCAGAAATGCTTAGGAAGGCCCTCAGTGGCCAGGAATGGAAGGTCTTATGAAATGGTAGGCCCACCTCTTGCCAACTATTGGGAGGGGGAGGCAAGTGCCACACTGGAATGAATTTCCAAATGTCTCTTAAAATGTCATGAACAAAATTGAAAGCTGTAGAAGTGTAAATGTGTCCTATGGACTCAATAGCAGAGTTTTATTTTTGTTTCTAATGGCAAGGCTTCTAGAGTCAATGATTGTATGAGCTCCCTACTCTGGCTGTGCATATAGCTCCATCCAAGTTGCAAGAAGAACTGCTGGTGCGGGCTGACCAGCAGAGGGCGTGCCCCAGCAAACAGCCAGGAGAGGGCCACAGAGGTGCAGTGAAAACTTGGTTGGAGAATGGGGGGATGGGGGGATGGGACAAGGGTGGTGGAGGGAGAGGGAGTTTGTATTACTTACTGATAAAGCTTTGTGAACTAATTTTATACAATTCATAAAATTTGGTGCCTTGTACTCAATTATGGTTTGCATGAGAAAGATTAAGGGAAAGGATTCCTTGTTATTTAAAATGGCAAATGGATCTCTGTAGTGTTTAAAGGACATTTCTTAAAAGCATTTCATATGGTATGTATGAATGCATATTACTCTTACCAGCAAGTTCTAAGTCTTCTTGTAGTGTCTGAACTGCTTGTGTCTGTGATGTTTCATCAAGTGAATGACTAGATTTGCCATTTTATTTGCTACTTCTTGTATGTCACTAATGTTCACTCTGGCCTTGTTGGGCAGGAAAAGTCCGAATGGCTCTTCCTAAATGTGTACTGAATCCGTCTGGTTATAGCGTATGAGTGGAAGGGTTGCTAAGTTGGTTGGGAGAGCACAATGATCAGAAAAGGCTTTTTTAAGTCTTTATCAAAACTGATGCTGGGCAAACTGGTGGAGGCACAACAAAAATGGTTCCTCTCAAAATGGTATGTATGCTCGTCAATGCTGAAGTTCTTTTTTTTTTTTTTTTTGGGTCCGGTTGTGGGCCTGAACTCTGGGCCTGGGCGCTGTCCCTCAGCTCTTCAGCTTAAGGCTAGCACTCTACCACTTGAGCCACAGCGCCACTTCTGGCTTTTTTCCTTTTTGCTTATGTGGTGCTGGGGAATCGAACCCAGGGCCTCATGCATGCAAGGCAAGCGTTCTACCACTGAGCCACCTTCCCAGCCCCAATGCTGAAGTTCTTTTGCACCAAGTATCAGGAAGCAGTATAGAAAACAATCCCTTGCATGTGAACCTGTAGATAACCTGCAAAGGGAATGGTGCCAGAGGCCCCGTCCCAGTGCCATCCTGTTTTCTGCGGGTGATGACTTTCAATAGGACTGAGTACTTGGGGCTCTTCCCAGCCTGTTACTCCAACCTAAGGTTTCTGCTGAGCTCATGAGATTTCACTAAGGACGTTTAAAGGCTCTCCATTAAAGCACACTCCATAACTGGGTTTCTCAGCCTAGTTAATTAGACTAAATAGGTGAAGAGTTCAGTCTCTAGAGGTAAAACTTCGATGGCCACTTAGCTTTTTGTGTTTGTTTGGTTTTTTGCCAGTCCTGGGGCTTGAACTCAGGGCCTGGGCACTCTCTCTGAGCCCTGAGAGCTTCTTTTGCTCAAGGATAGCACTCTATTGCTAAGCCACATTCTCAGCCCAGTCCACTTAGTTTTTTACCAGTTAAGTATTCCTCTTTCTAGTGGTTCACTCTTCCAGCCCCCCTTTTCCCCCACCCCCACCCCATGCCAATACTGGGGCTTGAACTCCTGTTCTCACTCAGGTTTTTTTTTTTGGTCCAGTCGTGGGGCCTGAACTCTGGGCCTGGGCGCTGTCCCTCAGCTCTTCAGCTCAAGGCTAGCGCTCTACCACTTGAGCCACAGCGTCACTTCAGCTTTTTTCTTTTTTCTTACATGGTGCTGAGGAATCGAACCCAGGGCCTCATGCATGCAAGGCAAGCGCCTACCACTGAGCCACCTTCCCAGCCCCATCACTCAGGTTTTGCATTAGCACTCTACCACTTGAGCCACACCACCTCTAGCAGTGTAACTAAGAGTCTCAGATTTGTCTACCCAGGCTGGCTCTGAACCTCAGCCCTCAGATCTCAGCCTAAAGCCTAAACACACCTTTGGAAATAGGACTGCATTTATATCTTACATTTAGGATGTTCTCTTAGCTAGGATTAGACTTAATCACTGTGTACTTGTTCAACCTACACATGTTCTAAAGATACCAGAGCAGCTGTAGCAATGATACAAGCAGTCATTTTTTCAGATATATTTTCTATGCTTAGGCCATCTACCTGCTAGGAATGTGGCTCAGTGGCAGTGCTCATCTAACATGCTTGAGGCCATAGTTTCCATACTAGCACTGTAAAGAATAAGATCCAATTAAAAGATTTTGGGAGCACTATATATTAATTAGTGCTGAAAAATGACAAGATCTAAAGTTCACTTCCCTTGGGGAATATGCTGTTGGCAGTGACACAAGCCAGCCCTGTCATTCTAATGACTGTCCCTCAGACTTCTGGGAATTATAGAGTTGGTAGCTTTGTTTACTAAATTCTTTTTTTTGGGGGGGTCCGGTTGTGGGGCCTGAACTCTGGGCCTGGGCGCTGTCCCTCAGCTCTTCAGCTCAAGGCTAGCATTCTACCACTTGAGCCACAGCGCAACTTCCGGCTTTTTTCTATTTGTTTACGTGGTGCTGAGGAATCAAACCCAGGGCCTCAGGCATGCAAGGCAAGCGCTCTACCACTGAACCACCTTCCCAGCCCCTTTACTAAATTCTTATTTGAATCGTGAACACCACTGCAACCAATCAACTAAAAGCTAATCACCGAAAAAAGCCGAGCGCTGGTGGCTCATGCCTATAATCCTAGCTACTCAGGAGGCTGAGATCTGAGGATCGTGGTTTCAAAGCCAGCCCGGGCAGGAAACTCCATGATACTCATCTCCAATAGACCACCAGAAAACCAGAAGTGACGCTGTCAAGTGGTAGAGCGCTGGCCTCGAGCTGAAGAGCTGAGGGACAGCACCCAGGCCCACAGTTCAAGTCCTACAACCAACCCCACCACCACCACCACACACCCACACTCCCCGTCCCCCATCTCCCCACAAGCCAATCAACTGTAAACACAATTACTTGATGCTAAACATTAAATTCTGAATTGTGCTTTTGGAAGCTGCAAAAATTTTGCTGGTTTCTCAAATAGGAGCACAGCAGGTAATAAACTTTAAGGATCTAAGACTGTATTCTTATAAAGAACAGAAAGAAGGTGCTGGTAATTTTTTTTATCTTAGCAGGTCTTGATCTAGGTCTGATGGGGTTTTGCATCTATGCTATGGCTTAAATTTTTCCTCCTAGTCACCCCTGTGAGGGATGAGGTTTCAAACCTAAAGCTTTGCTTGCACATTCATGACTCTCCCTCACCTTAATAATCAGTAATACATATACTTCTCAGAGCATCTTGTTTTCATATCAAACCTGCCCCCAGGTCTCAATTTACACATGCTTACAATGTGTTCCTACCAGATAGGATATATCTGATGAATGTTCACAAGAGGCTAGGAACTCTTTGTTTGTTTCAATGTAGAAAAAAAAGTCCTCAAACAGCTTTTTCTTTTTGGTGCTGGGGATCAAACCCAGGTCCTCATGCATGCAAAGCACATGTTCTACCACTGAACTATACCTCCAGCCCTCAAACAGCTTTAGTAAAGATTATGCCAGAAAGATCATGGTAGGCATCTCTAACTCTAGTAGTGACACCCTTCTCCCGTTTCCCTTAATTTTATGCCAGGCCCACAGGAGACTTGACATATATTTCTAAAAATGTCCAGGAGAGTAAACCCACTAGGAAAAACTTTCCATTAAGGACCTGTCTCCAGCTCCACCTCTCTATGGCTACGTAGTCTTTCCCTGCCAATTCTGTACATTTTCCATTTCCAAAGAACCCCTGACAGTGACACTAGCATGAATTTTAGGATGGATGCCCATCAAGTTCTCTGTGAAGGAAGCAAGCAGCTGCTCAGCAGTGTCATTGTGCCCACTGCCAAGGCTTGCTACCTCTTGCCTCCACCTAATGTATCTGCCCTTGTTCTACCACCAAACCTCATTCTGTTCCAACAATGCCTCCCAGGTGCCTGGAAAACCCACCTGGTGCACTAAAATGCTATGCAACACCAAATGGCTCAACAATGGAAATTCCTAAGAATAAGCTTCATGTAATGTGAGCGTCAATATGTAGTGGGTGGTTGCAGTTTCTATTTCTTTTACAATGAGGCAAACCACCCCTTACATTCCATGTCTGGGGCTTGTTCCTGTCAAGTGTGAAATATAAATCATGTTTTTATGATTTTTGTAAATCTTGACTTTTTACACCTTGTTTTTGTAAGCAGAAGTTTCTTATTAAAAGAATAAAAGAGCTGTCTCTGTGTACAGTCTTTATTTCAAATACTTGTTATAACGCCAATCTTAATCCTTTAGGACATGAACAAAGATCACCTCCCTGCAGAAACATCACAACTATGTACAGAACTTTTACAGAACCAAGGCAACACTTCAGTGTTAGAAAAGGAAGGAGAAACTTCAGCTGCCATCAAGCATTATCTTGTGGTGGTCATAAACTATACTCTTGTTTTGGAAAGTTTGGGTAGAGCACAGGAATTCCGATTGTCTGCAATCAAATAACAGGTGCCATTAGAAAGGGAAAATAACATTAGGAAAAAATAGACATGGAAACACATTTAAATCCTTGCACATCTAGAATAGCACATTGTCTCTTGCATTTTGTGAATCGTTGATACAAATCACTTGCTGCTTCTCTCAGTCTCTAGAACTCCCAACGTAGAGAGGTGGTTAAATGCTTACCTACTTGTTATACTCCTGGCTGAGGTGCCATTAGATCAATGTCACTCAAATTCCTGGCCAGCCAAACTCCCGCAGCAAATAGTCCCAAATTGAGGATCAAGTTCCTGGATAGAGAACGAACGTATTTCGTTAAACCTGCGCTCACGTGTATCCCCACCTCTAGACACCGAGATAAATGGCTACGTGGACCGCTGTTCAACACCCACGGGGGAATGTGGAGTTGGCTTCTGGGTCTAAGGAGAGCAGGACCAAAGGCAAAGGCCAGTTATGCACTCGCCTGGGGCCGGGAGGCCTGTTTGTATGTTCGTGCCTCCTCTTCCCGGTCCCCAGGTGAAAGCGACATTCTACAACGATGGCCACGTGACAGGTCCCAGTCAAGGGCCTCGGCCAAGAACACAGAGCCACGAAGGGGGCCGCGGCGTTGGCAAGGTCCAAATCCCCGCGGACGCGGGCCGCCCTCCGGGCCGGGCAAACGCCAGCGGTGCTCCCGGGCCGCAGGGCCCGACCCGGGCTCGGTTACCTCCGAAAGTCATTCCTATCGGTGGCAAAGCGGTAGACGCCCCGGAGCCAGTCTCCCACGTTGTCTGGAATCTCGGGGGCTTCATTTGCCGGGCCGGCCGCGCTCACCGCCACCCCGCTGGAAGCCATAACCGGACTCGCAGCCTTCGCACAAGCCCGGGCCGTCTAGCGCCGGCGATCGCGCAACTTCCGGTCCGGCACTTCCGGCGTCCGGCTAGGGGGCGGGGAGGGAGGGTGCTGCGTGGCTCGGTTCCGCCGCATGCCACCGTTACCGGTGCTGAGTACTTGGTTCGGTCGTTCCGGAGCCACGTGCTGGGGGTGTGGCCGCCCCAGTCGGTGGGGTAGGGGTTCGCTGTGCTGGGAAGCTCAGCTTTGGGAAGCCTCGCTCTCCGGCGCGCGCTCCCGCCCCGGCGCCGCCGCTAGCACACGGTGCAGCGCTTCCGGAAGGGGTCGCCGTCCTCCGCCCGCAGGCGGCCCGGGGCCGGCCCCGGTCCGGGCAGGCGCTGGCCCAAGAAAAAGCCTTCGGGTTCCGAGTCGGAGGAGGAGGAGCAGGTGGGGCAGGGGGCGTCCTCCGCGGGGCCTTGCTCCCGCACACCCCGCGTGTCCCGGCGGCGGCTGGCGGGAAGAGCCGCTCGGGAGACCGTGGCGTCCTCCGACGAGGCTCGGCCGTGTGTTCCAGTTCCATCGGGTCCTGGCCGGGTCAGAGACGCTCACCTCAGCGCCCCGGGCCCGCGCCCCGCGCCCCGCGCCAGCCTGGCCGCGCGAGCGGCTGACGGCAGCCAGGGCTGGGCACAGCCTCCCGCGCCGCCCCGCACGCGCCGTCGCGCGCGTCCACCCCGGGCCCCCGCCTCGCCCCGCCTTCGTCCGCCAGTGGCAGCCGCGTCGTCCGCCCAGGAACAACTCCGGCGCCGCAGCTCCGACCGATCACCGCGCGGGGTGGGTGCGGGAGCCCTTCGGAGCGCTTCCGGCCAGGGACGCGCGGTGAGAGCCGCGGGCCTTCATGCTCGCTTTGGGGGTGTGGGGGGTGCGGTGGGAGGACGGGGCGCTGCCGCAGGGATGAGACAGTATGGGATTGGGGCGGAGGGCCCTGCCCGGGAGAAGCCCCACCTTGGCCCAGCCTAAGGCATCTTCAGCTCCCGCTTTGATCAGTACCTTCTCCTCTCTTACCGAGGGACACTCGCCCTTCCAGGGCCCCGGCCGGGCTAGTGTCTGCGTCCGAGTAGCGACTCTCGAAGCAGCTAGGACAGCAGGGGCTGCCCCCCGGTAGGGCATAACTGCCCCCACCCAGGGGCCCAGCGCAGCCCTGGCAGCAGAAGTGGTTCTCATGCCAGCGCTGTCCCTCTGCCTCGGTGCAGTGCTGGGAGAAGATGAGCTGGGAGAGGGAGAGGGGAAAGGCGCCTTCATTTATTCATTCACTCATTCATTCATCCAATAACCATGCCTTATACCCAGTTAACCGAAGCATGCCCACACATTCCCATTTGATCTCCGTCGCTCTAAGACATAGTGAGGGCTGATTGGCTTAGCTAGGAACCCCCAGCTAGCCGGTGTCACAGCCTCCTGGACTTCCCACCCAGAGTTAATGTTGTTGATATTAAGGGTCTTTCTAGCATGATCACACACAGCATTGACAACTTGCATATTGACATGAATATTTGTCCAAGAGAAATTCTGAGTTCAAAAAAACGTGAGGGGAGAGGCTGGGAAACTGGACCCTAGTTCTCCCCGTCTGTAACACTTAGAGTGGTTGAATCTCAGGAGGGAGGGGGGCCCCCCTTACATCTTGCCAGGATAGGACCATGCACAGAAACACCCTCCCCATCCCCTTTAGTGTTTACCTGGTCACAAGCTGGGCAGCGTGGCCGCAGCAACTCAGCATGGTGACGGCCACAGTAGAGATGCCCATCGTGGTAGAAGTAGATGAGGTTTATCAAGGCCTGACCACAGGTCTGGCAGGCAAAGCAAGGCGGATGCCAACAGCGCTGCCTGCCTGCCCGGTCTGCAAACACTCCATACTCTCCTGGCTTCAGCTGCTCCCTGCACTGGCAGGCAGAAACACTGGTCTGGTTAGAGTCCCAACCATCCTCCTAGGTTTCCCGCAGGTGCTCCCATAGCAACCCCAACCTAACTGGTATCTCACGCTCTGGCTGGCACACTCCTACTGCACCCTCCGCCAAGAACTCAAGACTGAATTTTCCTTTGTTCCTAACAATTGCCAAATCACCAATCCCTGAAGCCTGTTTCTTCATCAGAGTTCCAGGAATCAGAAGTAAGATGGTCAAGGGGTGGAAAAAAAGGAAGAATTAGGGATGGGAGGTGGTTCAACATACCTTCTCACAGGTATGCCCTTCAAGCATAGGAGGTAGCAGGCGGGCCACCCCCTGTCCCAAGGCCTTCTGCTTCCGCTGGGCACAGAAAAACCGCAGCTCAGCCCGCTCCTCTTCCCCAAGAGCCAGGCAGTAACGCTCCTGCAGACACAGACCTTCTATATTACTGGAGCAGTGCCAACAGGTAGATCCCACATACTAGCACGCAAAGTTAGACTAGATCTGTAAGATTCTAGAAGGCTTACCTACTGGGAGAGGTTGTACAACCTCAAGAGCTAACAGCATATATGCACTAAGAGTAGAGGGAGAAAAAAAAAAAAGACAAGCACCTCAGTTTTCCTTAGCTGCCCTTAGAAGTTGTCATCCTCAGCTGCCTGCTGGTAGCTCACACCTATAATCCTAGCTACTCAGGAGGCTGAGATCTGAGGATCATGGTTCAAAGACAACCTGGGCAGGAATGTCTGTGAGACTCTTATCTGTAATAAACTACTCAGAAAAAGCCCAACGTGGCACTGTGGCTTAAATGGTAAAGCACTAACCTTGAGCAAAAGAAGCACAGGGACAACACCCAGGCCCTGAGCTCAAGTTCCAGGACCAGCACACATACAAAAAGAAATTGTTGCCAGGCAACAAGGTGGTTCATGCATATAATCCTAGCTACTCAGGAGACTGAGATTTGAGGATCCTGGTTTGAAGCCAGCCCAGGCTTCAAAAAAGTCCCTATGAGACTCTTATCTCCATTTAACCACTCAAAACCCAAAAGTGATAGAGAGGTAGCCTTGAGCAAAAGCGTTCAGGGCCAGCACCCAGGCCCTGAGTTCAAGCTCCATAGCCAACAACAACAACAAAAAAGTTGTCATCATGCAGGATTTGACAGTACTAAACCTCACTAAGCATTATCACATACACCTAATGAACTAGAGCCAGCATCATTTCCTATCCTTGCATTTTCTCTTCTTACCTCCTATAATCTTTTCTTGCCTCCCCAATTGAATTGTAAGCCTTTAGGCTGGGCACATACAGGGCTCCAATAAATACTGAAGGACCATGTGTTCTCCATTTGTACATTCCATTACTGGTTTCAACAGTTGTTCATGTCCATTTTCTCATTTGCTCTTGAACTAAGCATTGTAGTAAGCAGAGATTTATATAGATGTGAAAACTCAAGCTGAAAGGAAGGACTTCTCCCAAGTAGTGGGCAGGGCTGGACCTTAGCCATGTCCCTTGACATTTGGACCAAGGGCTTTTCTACAGTAAATCGTGAAGCAAGGATGAGGCGGGAAGTTAAAAGAACAAGGGAGAGGGAAGATGGGGAGGGGAGACTCACATCACTGTCCTGCGGAGGGAGCTGCTGTAGGAGGGTCTGAAGTCCAGGCCAATTGGAGGCTTGGTTGATGTCCAAGTGGGGTGGACTCAAGCTCAGGACTGCAGGAGCCTGAGGAGAGACAAATGAGGAAGAGTGGAGCTAGGTATTTCCTTTCCTTCCTCCTCATTACCACTTCTCCAATCTAGAGCAACTTCTGAAACCACCCTGCTCTTGGAGGATATTCCTTGCAGACCTTCACTAAGCATGAGGACAGCAGATCCCCTGCTGCATCTGTGGGTTACCTTGAGGGAACCCCAAATGGTTTTCCTTATACTCGGAGCTGCCTCCCTTTACACCTTTTGGTTTGTTCTGACAACAAAGATCTCTTAGGAGTGTATTGTATATTTATGTCAAGGAGTTGAAAGTCAAATCCTCTGTCATAAGGAAGGTGTAGAAGCAGGAATTCTGAAGAGGGACAAGGGCCCCAAGAAGTTACACATAGACAGAAATGGTATCATATGCCTATACTCTTCAGGAGGGCTGAGGGAGAAAGATGGAAAGTTCAAAGCCACTCTGAGCTATATAGCAAAACTCTTGATCAACAAAATCTAGCTGGCCACTGGTGGTTCACACCTGTCATCCTAGCTACTCAGGAGGTTGAGATCTAGCTGGCCCCTGGTAGCTCACGCCTGGGTAATTCTAGGTACTCAAGAGGCTGAGATCTGAGCATCACGGTTCAGAGCCAGCCCAGGCAAGGAAAATCCATGAGACTCTCATCTCCTACTAACTGCCAGAAAACTGGAAGTGGCATTGTGGCTCAAGTGATAGAGCACTCACCTTGAGCTGAAGAGCTCAGGGACAGCACCCAGGACCAGAGTTCAAGCTCCACAACCAACAAAAGAAAAAAAGAAATCCAAACCAAAAAATAGGGCTAAGTCAGGCGCCAGTAGCTCTCACTTGTAATCTTAGTTACTTAGGAAGCTGAGATCTGAGGATCACAGTTCAAAGCCAGCCTGGGCAGAAAAGTCCATGAGATTCTGAACTCCAATAAACAACTAGAAAATTGGAAGTGGCGCTGTGGCTCAAGAGGTAGAGCGCTCGCCTTAAGCTGGAAGAGCGCAGGGACAGTGCCCAGGCCCAGAGTTCAAGCCCACAACCAACAACAACAAAAAAAAATAATATAGAGCTAGGGCACTTGTCCAGCACATTTATGGTTCAATCTCTAGTACTGGGAACAAAGCAAACGACTTCCTAGTTGGTAGAAAGGGAAAGAGGGCTGGTGGTTCTCAGGAAGACAGAGGGGTCATACCTGAGCAAAGTTATCCTCGGGGTCTTCCTCTAGCTGGTGGCTTGAGTCAGCCTCTGAGTTGGCAGGTAAACCTTGCTCCCTGGTGATGGGACTATCCTCTTGATGGGGCATTGAGAGTTCCGAGTTCAGCACTAACAGTGGTGACAAAGTCTGCCCCAAAACAATAAGGAGGCCTCAACCAGTGGGCTCTCATAATGAGCTAGGCAATGCTAAGTGCCTTACAGACATGGCTGCGCTCGATGCGGTACCTGTGGCTGAACCACAGATGAGTGAGCACAGAGGAGTGAGATCCGCCAAAGATCATACAGCAAGTGAGTGGCAGAGCCAGATCCTAAAACCAGGCCTCTCAGCTTCTGCGTTTCTGAAGTTGAAATGCTGGGACTCTCGTAGACCAGGATGGAGTGAGAAGGCCCACAGTGGAAGGAGGTGACGTTTTCTTTCTGGGAGCCCTTGGAAGGCTCACCTTGCTAGCTTGAACTCCCATTGTGCCCATCGCCCAGGAGCCTGCCTGCTCACCATTCCCTCTCTCAGCCCTATTTTTCTAGCTATGGATGTTTGGACCTGGTTAATGGGCCACCTTACCAGGATTCTAGCCCATTCTGGCTTTCCATTCTGAGCTCTAGAAGGATTATTGTGAGGACAGACCATATTTGGGGAAATTCTAGAATAGCCTCTGCTACAGAGTAAACAGCACTCCGAGGGTTCTCTTTGTCCCGAGTCTCGCTCAATTCCTCCTGTAGTCTATGAGCTTCTCAATGGTTGGAAAATTTTGGGCTATCTACATGAACAATTTCTTTCTTTTCATCTCTTCTTTCTCTCCTTTCCCTTTTTTCTCCTTGGTTGAACACAAGGCCTGAGCAATGCAAGTTAGGCAAGCACTCTACTACTGAGTCTCATCCTCAGCCACCTTTTCTTTGGGGGGGTGGGGGGTAGGAGGTTTTGTGCTAGTACCAGAGCTTGAACTTAGGGCCTCCTGGTTTTGCTTACTTTTTTTGCTCAAGGCCGACCCGCTATCACTTGAGACCCACCTTCACTTTTGATGTTTCTCAGCAGTTTCACTGGATAAGCTCAGGCTCTTTAGCCTTCCTCTCCACCAGTCCTGATGCAACCCAAGATATCTTGGAGGTGGGGAGTAACTGCTGAAGTAGAGAGGGAATGGGCCCTACCCTCAAGCTCACAGGCTAGTTAGTGGGTAAGACAGAAATCAAGCCAGGCAGAACTTCCCCTTTATACTCTGGTTAGATACATACACCCCACGGTGGTTTGTATGTGGGGGGAATAGCCAGTGTAAACTTTTACATTTACTCTGTGCCAGGGATTGCTCTAGAATTGTACATAATGAAGCTCATCCTCACAATAATCCTTTCTCCGTTTTACAGGTCAAAAAAATGTTTGCTTAATTAGCATGCTCAAGATCACACCAGAAAGCCAAAGAAATTTAAGGAGAAAGTAGGCTGGGCCGGACACTGGCTAGCACATAGGGAGGGGGCTTCATCCACCCCTGGCCCCAGTAATATACAGCTTTAGGGTTGGGCCCACGTTTGGACCATTACATACTTTCCAGTCCTGAACTCTACTCAGCAGCACACCCCACCTTTCACATGTCCGGTGCCACCCTTCCTTCCTTCCTGGCCCCGCACGCACCTGTTTCCTTCCTGTTCTGTCTCTCAGGTCAGATTTCCTGTGGAAGGTGGCCAGGATGGGCTGTTCACACTCAGGGCCTGGGGTCGCCATTTCTCCTAGCTCCAGGCCACAAGGAAGAGGGGAGCATCGGAGACCTTATAGAGGGGTTCGTACCCTCCTTTACGTTAGGTCTAGCTTGCATGGAACTGTTGGACACAGAAACAATTAAAAATCCATTCTTCAAATATGACCAAATGAAAAAAAAAATCCATTCTCTGCCCATTCCCCTTCCTTCCCTTACCCCATACGGGCCGGCCTTCTTCACCTCTACCCTCCTCACACGATCCTCCTTCCAACCCTCGCGCAGGTGCTCACCAGCTGGAGGGCGCAACTCCCCAAGCCCACACCCCCTCCCAGGAAATACCGAGGGAGAAAGGGGGCGTGTCCGACTCCTCCAAGCGCCTTCGACAGATTCCCCCCAAGTTTCCCAGGGACTTTGCGGGGCACCCCGCGAGGCTGGGGTGCGGTGTCGTCCTGGAGTCCGCTCGTTGGGGCAGGATCGGGGACGTGGCAGCCCGGGACCCCCCGGCCGAGCCCCGCCCCGACGGCGCGCCCTCCCTCCCCACGCCCCCAGCCCGGCCAGCACCACCGAGGCAGCCTGAAGAATGGACCTGGGCGGGAAGGATGCTGAGCCCCGCTCTTTCTCTCCGAGGGTCCCCAGAATCCCTCAGACCCTACCTCGGGCCCCAGCCCCTCGTCTGCTCCCGCCTTCTGATTCCCAATGATCCCCCGACCTCCTTCCCTCTCCTTGCCCTCCCCCGGCACCCCCGGTCCAGCCCTTCACCCAGTCTCCAGGGAGCGCCTCAGCCCCGGTCCCTAAACTCCGCTCCGCTCCGCCCCGCCCTCCGAAGACCACGCCCACCTCAGGTCCCGCCCACACCACGCCCCACTCCCGTCAAGATTCCTAGTGTCTGGCGCGGAGCGCCCTCTGGCGACTGCGCATGCTCGCCGCTCACGCCTGCAAAGTCCTCCAAAGGGACTTTCTAGGCTGCTCGCCGGTCGCCCCCGCTCGGGTCCGCCCGCCCGCCCGCAGCGTCTCGTTGGTGCTGCCGGTGACCTCCGACCCCACGGTTGCAGGGCGGGACGGGGAGGCCTTGGCTCCGGGCGGGCGGCGGCGGTGGCGGCGGTGGCTGCTGCTGCAGCGGGACCCGGGAGCGGGGGGCCCGGCGCCGCCCGGGCCGCGGGGCGATGTGAGTCTGGGCGCAGCGGGGCGGGGACAAGGCGGCTCCCCCAGGCCGCGCCGCCGTCTCTGCTCTTCCCTGGAAGCCCAGGGCGGGCAGGCGGGGGAGGGGGGGCGCGCAGCCCCTGGCGGGGAGCGGGGTTCCGGGCACGACGAGCGGCCCGGACCTCCCGGTGCCTTTCCCGTGTCTAGAAATCCCCTGACCGCCCTGCAAACAGATCGGCTGTCACTGCCCAAAGCCCACCTCTCCCCGTCCCCGGACGCACCTCAGAACCCCCCACCCACGGGTCCCACAGACCCACCACCCACTCCTGGATGCGCCCAGATCTTCCACCGTCCACAAAGTCCCCGGGCCCTTCAAGTTCTCTTTGCAACCTAGGTAGATCCAGATTGTTCCCCACGTCCCAAGGCTTCCATACATTTTCAACCCCATCCAACTCCTGTCCTGCCCTCCCCGTCCATGTCCGGCCCAGTGTAATACCCTCCCTCTGGGTTATCTGGTGACAGATCCAATATCTTAAAGAAAAAGGGATGCAGACAGGGAAAGTACAGCCCCTCTCCACCCTGGGCTAGTCTGCGCTCGACCACTGCAGCCTGTGCCCTCCTTCCAAATAATGAGCCCCCCAGACCCAGAGGCTGGGGGTGCAAGGGGCCTTGTCTTTCTAAAGCATGAAGATGGGATTTCAAGGGTTTCCAGGATTCTGGTTGCTTGGCTTGTGTAGTTGGGGCTCAGCTGCCTTCATATTTTAGTTTATTAACATTTATGTTTAAAATGGGACGGTTTGAGCTTGGGGAACAGAAATCTGTCCCATCTTCCAAATGTGAGACTGAGGACCTATCCTGGAAGAGAAACTGTCTGAATGGTGTTGTTTTTACATACTTACCTTTAGAAGCTATTTGAGCTAAGCTAAAGCTCAGTGGTTTACACGTGTTTCCCTTGAAAATTGAGGAATTGGAAGGTGGGTGTGAGGCGTTGACTTTGATGGAGTCTCTTAGATTCTAGTAACAACAAAACAGACTAGAATGTTTGTTTCCTGAACCTCATGCCCATACTCTTTGCAATGCACCATAGTGTTCTTTCTTCTGTTTGTTTGCTTGTTTGAACTCAAAGCTTATTTACTTGCTCTTGGTTGTCACCGGGCCTACCATCTGAGCTATGCCTCCAGCTCTGGCATTTCTTTATTTATGCTGGTGCTAGGACTTGAATTCACAGCCCTGAACTTTTACTTAACTTCTTTGCTCAAGGCTAGTGCTTTACCATTTGAGTTACACCTTTACATCTGGCTTTTTTGATGGTTAATTGGAGATTAGCTTAGTCTGCCCTGGCTGGCTTTGAACAGAGACACTCAGATCTCAACCTCCTGAGTAACTAGGATTAGAGGTATGAGCCACCAGCTATTTTATTGTAGTGTTCTTCTGTGAAAGCTCTGTGTAGAGGTGAAGTTCTCTGCAAATGTAAGGGAGTGATTGGGTGTTTCTTTTAACAGGATTCTGAGGGAGACTAAAAGTTGACTTGGGAAATCATAGACTCAGCCACGAAACTCATTGATGTTAGTGGAGTTTCCCCTCTCAGGGCCTCTGGTGCTTGGGATCGTGGTCCCTTTGTCCATCTTGCTTTTTTTTCACTGGTGTTTCAGACTCTTTAGGACCTGGACAGAGATCCAGGTGGGATGGACTGGCCAAAGGTCAGTCTCATGAACAGGATGAGGATAGAAAGTCTCATGAATCGGTGATCTCTCATCTCCTATGCTAGGTGAGCCCCAGGTGCCACCCCGAGGGATCCAGGTGACATCTCTGCAGACGGTTGGCCATGACACCCCAGCAAGGGCAGAGGGACTGAAGTGGGAACCCTTTCCCATGTCCCTCCTATGGGCAGCTCCCCGATGGCCTGGGTGAGGTAAGAACGGTGGAGTCAGGAGGGGCGGAGGGTCCAAGTTCAGGACCTGACACAAGCAGCAGAAATCTGGAAGGAGAATGAATCTCACCTCATTTCTCAAGTGCCTTGTAACCAACCCTTTAACATTCTGCTTGAAAGTTGGAGATTTAGTTCAGTAATGGAATGCTTGTCTGGCAAGTATGAGGCCCTGAACCAGATTCTCAGTGCCCAAAGTGACAGAACCTGCTGATTGGGCCATGGATTTCTTGTTCCCTTAGGCCACAGGCCTAACTATTGTCGCATAGAATACAATTTCAAGTACCCTGGAAGGAAAAGCCAAGTCATTTTCGGGTCTCATTTTGGCCAATGTGGAACAAACAAAACCCAAGATGTCTTTGTTTTGCAGTACTGGGAATCAATCCCCTATCCTTACGGATATCACTGAATTACATCCCCAGCCTTTTTTTAAATGAAGAAATATCCAATCAAGATCATATTGTTTTGAATTTTAAAACATGTCTATGATCATGATAGAAAAATTCATCCAAAGAGAACATGAAAAAGAGAAATTTTGTGCAGTGTGCTGATGGTTCACACCTGTAGTCCTAGCTACTCAGGAGGCTGAGATCTGAGGATCGTGGTTCAAAGTTAGCCCAGACAGGAATATCTGTGAGACATTTTTTTTTCCAGTCCTGGGGCTTGAACTCAGGGCCTGGACACTGTCCCTGAGCTTCTTCAAAGCTAGCACTGTACCATCTGAGCCACAGTGCCATTTCTGGCTTTTTCTGTTTATGTAGTGCTGAGGAATCAAACCCAGGGCTTCATGCCTGGAGCACAAAGAGGCTCAGGGACAGGGCCTAGGCCCTGAGTTTAAGCCCAGGACCAGCATAAAAAAAAAAAAAAAGAAAGGAAGGAAAGAAAGAAAGAAAAGGAAAGGAAAAAGTATGGACCAGAGTATCTGAGATAACCCAGACAGTTCCGAGTGAATCTGAAGGAGGGTCTTCGGGCTGCAGTGTGCCTGACTCCTGAGACAGTCACTGCTCGGGCCTTATGTCCATGCTTTTCCTCCAGCTCTGTCTTCTTCCTTGCTTTTCCATGGGTCAAACCCTGAGTGCTTCTCAATGTCCAGAGGGCATGTGACCCCCTTGAAGCTCTCTCTCTAGAGTGTCACACTCTAACTTGATGTTTTTTCCCAGTGTGTCTGGGCCTAGATGGAGGGAGGATTCCTGATGGTGTGTTGTAGAATCTCTTGTACAGAGTAGGCGCTCACTGTGCAATGGTCTGCCCAGAGCAGGGTCTTCTGAACTCCAGCTGGTGACCTGCTTGTCTTCTGTTCCTCCCCAGGGCCGCCTGGCTGCTCTGACGCCATGGGGAGCTGCTGTAGCTGCCTGAATAGAGACGGCCTCTCAGACAACCATCCCACCAAGTTCAAGGTACCCAGACCCTCGTCCTCCCTTAAGTTCCTCTTCGGCTCAGGCACTGAACAGTCAGGCTGCCTCAGCCCCTGTGGGAAGAGAAATCCTGCCCAGGCAGTGGGCTGGGCTCCCTGTGTGCGTAGCCTCTAAGGGGCCAGGGGAGAAAGGCTTAGGCCACTGTTGTATCTGTCTCTATCTGTCCATCTGTCTGTCAGTTCAATGATCAATTGATTGGTACTGGGCTTGAACTCAGGGCCTGGATGCCATCCCTTAGCCTCTTCACTCTAGGATGGTACTCTATTGCTTGGGCCATAGCTTTATTTCTGCCTTTTTGCTGGTTAATTGGAGATAAGAGTCTCCTGGACTTTCCTGCCTGGGCTGCCTGCCTTTGAACTCTATCCTCAGATCTCCTGAGTAAGGATTACAGGTGTGAGCCACGAGGATCCAGTGTTTCTTTTTGTTTTGATACAATCAAGAATAGTGAAATGAGTTCAAGCCCCACAACTGACAAAACAATAAATTTAAAAAATATATATATATACATATATATATATATACACATACATAAACACTACAATACCATAGCAGGAGTGTTCAGTCCTGAAAGTATATATTTATAACTTCATACACCTTTTTTGGGGGTTGGTCTTGGGGCCTGGGAGCTGTCCTTGAACTTTTCAGCTCAAAGCTAGTGCTCTGCCACTTTGAGCCACAGCTCCACTTCCAGTTTTCTGGTTGGTAATTGGAGATAAGAGTCTCATGGACTTTCCTGCCTGGGCTGGCTTTGAATTGCGATCCTCAGATCTCAGTCTCCTGAGTAGCTATGATTACAGGTATGAGCCACCAGCACCTGGCATATACACCTTTGTTTTGGAGATAACAAAACAAGTCTATATTTATGAATTAATATAATAAAGTGTTTTTTTCTTGTGCCAGTACTGGGGGCTTAAACTCAGGAGTAGCTTTTTTTGCTCACTGCCATTAAACTGCGCCTCTATTTCTGGCTTCTTGATGGTTAACTGGAGATAGAGTCTCAAAGATTTGTCTGCCCAGACTTACTCCAAACTGATTCTCAGATTTCAGCCATCTGAGTAGCTAGAAATATGAGCATGAGCCACTGGTGCCCAACGTAAGAGTATTTTAAACGGTGCTTGGCACATGGCAAGCACTTTATGAAGTGTCCCTGCAGCCTTGAAGTCCTGGCCAGGCCCCAGGGGCCTGTGCGCTCCCTGAACACCTCTGTACCTGTAGGGGGTGTCTTATCTTGGCAATGGGGCATATGGAGTTCCTCCCTCCTTCCAGCAGAGGGAGCCCACAGCAAGGCCTTAAGGTTAGAGAGAGAATGGCAGTGTGTTTTTGTTCAGCCTTGGGCCTGACTTTCTTAGGAGCTTCAGAATTTGAATTTACAGTTGAATCCCTTCCTCATTGACATCTGACCCTTAACTGTTAAGCCATGAGCCCTGCAAGGTCACTGGACCACCTGCCCTAGGAGGTCAACTGAGGCCCGTAAGGGAGGGATTTGCCTAGAGGACTGCCATGGTCCATGGTACTGCTTTGTGGGACCCCCTTGATCATGGTGTTCTGTAGCGCATGTGCATGGGATGAGCCCCTCAGCCTCCCTGCTAACCCTGAGGGGGCTGCCTCCCACTTGCAGTCTCCCTGACCCTCTGCTGCCCCCCTCCAGGTGACGAATGTGGATGATGAGGGCATGGAGCTGGGCTCAGGCGTGATGGAGCTGACACAGAGCGAGCTGGTGTTGCACCTGCTTCAGCGGGATGACATCCACTGGCCCTACCTCTGCCTGAGGCGCTATGGCTACGACTCCAACCTCTTCTCCTTTGAGAGTGGCCGCCGCTGTCAGACGGGCCAAGGTGAGGACCGGCCTGCCCTGCCAAGGTGGGGGCTGTGTGCCCGGCCATCTCTGGGCTGGAAGGTACAGCCCAGGGGGTCTGGAGAGCTTGTTGGGAAATTGTGAGAATGAGCTTTAACATCAAATCTGGCCCTCACACTTAGCAGACATTACCCAGAGAGGGAACGGGCCCTGGGCAAGGGCCCAAAGCATGGTATTACAAAACTGTATGGTCAGCTGGGCACTGGTGGCCTATGCCTGTAATCCCAGCTACTCAGGAGGCTGAGATCTGAGGATCATGGTTCAAAGCCAGCCCAGGCAGGAAAGTCCATGAGACTCTCGTCTCCACAGAACCACCTGAAAACCAGAAGTGGCACTGTGGCTCAAGTGGTAGAGCGCTTACCTTGAGCTGAAGAGCTCAGGGACAGCGCCCAGGCCCGGAGTTCAAGACCCATACTGACAAAAACCAAAACCAAATTGTATGGTCTGCAAGCCCAGGGAGGATAATTGAGCCAATACTGGGACTTGAACACAATCTTGTGTTCTTGCTTAGCTTTTTTCACTGAAGGTTGGGGCTCTGCCACTTAAGCCAGACCTATACTTCCAGGGTTTTTTTTTATTTTGTTTTGTTTGGTTTTTTTTTTGCTGGTTAATTGAAAATAAGATTTGGCTACGGAGCTGGCTTCGAACCATGATCCTCAGATCTCAACCTCTTAAGTAGCTATAATTAGAGGCATAAGCACATGGCTCCAGTGCTCTTTCTTAAGCGATTGTTGCTCCAGCCTGGGTCCCTTTGTGGGGACATTTGTTGTTTAGCCTGTGGGAAAGAGGCAATGCAGGCCAGAGTGTGCCTGGCAGAAAGAAATGACTCTTCCCTCTGTTGTTACAGCTTCAGGGACCCACTTGCCCCCAGTAGGAACAAAGCTTTCTTCCCCGAGCCTCCAGGTCTTATTCTCTGACCCCTGTGCATAATGGAGGAAAGGTCCCGTAGGAGGATCTGGCTTGGGAATGAAAATTGGGGAGCCAGGACGCTTGATCTCCATTACCTGGGGGCAGCAGAGTGGCTGTACCCCGAGGTCAGAGGCTGGGAGGTGGTTTCCTGAGTCCCAGCACTGCATGGTATGCCTGACTATTAGGATCCAGACAAAGCGGCGCAGAAGGGTGCTGCTTGGTCGGGACTGCAGAGGGCACTCCACATCTGAGGCAGTAGCACAGCCAGGCATCTCCCAGGGTGTTTTTCCCTCCACCACCTGGGCCCTGGAGCTCAGCAGAGGCCCACAGTGCTGAGTGAGCAGACGGCGGGAGGAAGACGGCTCTTCCTGAACTCTAGACCCTACTAATCTTTTTCCTAACTCTTGACATATCTTGCCTGAACAGGCCCCTTACTTCCCTTCTCTTCCCAGCTCTCTCCTGTAAGCCGCCACTGGCCTGCAGTGTGCCCTATTAATTGTAATCTAATAATATAATGTAGTCATAGGTTGCTATGGGCCTAGCCGTATTTATCTGCACTGTAGATATATGCACACAAACCTTCTAGGAGCTTCCCCAAGCCCTGGGTCCCACTGCTGCAGACTCCTGGCCACCCCAGTCCCCAGCATCTTTGTGCTCAGCCCAAGTCCTGCAATTCCTAGGACACTGAGTTGTGGCCCTGGGCTTGGAACCTCTGTGAGGCCAGCTGTGCCCACGAGCCCCATGACTGCTTTGCCACATCCACCTTTAGCTCTGCCTGCATGGCGATCACGCTGTGGGAAGCGCGTGACCCGCCCGAGGCCGGGCACTGGGCTGAAGGAGCCATGGGCAGGACAAACCCACCCACCCTGGGTTGCTGCTGAGCAGAGAGCCCTGAGTTCAGGGCTCGGCCTGACTTGACTTTGTTTCCTGGGGGAGCAGAGGGTAGTAGGAAGAGGATGATGGGGCTTTTTTTTTTTTTTGTCGGTCATGGGGCTTGAACTCTGGGCCTGGGCGCTGTCCCTGAGCTTTTCAGCCCAAGTGGGCGCTCTACTATTTGAGCCACAGCGCTATTTCTGGTTTTCTGGTGGTTAATTGGAGATGAGAGCCTCACAGACTTTCCTGCCTGGGCTGGCATTGAACCATGATCTTCAGATTTCAGCCTCCTGAGTAGCTAGGATTACAGGTGTGAGCCACTGGCTCCCGGCTGGAGGTATCTAATTTGATGAGAGAGTTTTTCCTCCACTCACCACTAAACTCATGTGCTTAGGGAGATGGCAGCTTCTCGGAGGAGTGGGGCTGCACTACAGGTCTTGAGATGATGGGAGTGTGGCATGGCTGGGAGCAGGAGGCCCTGGGCCGGGTCCCTGGACTCTGGGCTACAGGAATGTATGGGCAAGAATGCCCAGGATAGGCCAGGTGCTGGTGGCTCACGCCTGTAATCCTAGCTACTCAGGAGGGTAAGATGTGAGGATCATGGTTCAAAGCCAGCCAGAGCAGGAAAATCCATGAGGCTTTTATCTCCAATAAGCCACTCAGAAAACTGGAAGTCACATTATGGCTCAAGTGGTAGAACACTAGCCTTGAGCTGAAGAGCTGAGTGCCCAGGTCCAGAGTTCAAGCCCCACAACCGACAAAAACAGACAAACAAACACAAAACCAAGGATGCCCAGAATGCAGAGCAGCGCCCCTGTCCTCTGCAGCCTGGCGCTGAGGCCCTCCCTGCAGCTCCTCTGTGTGCCTTCCTCCAGGGATCTTCGCGTTCAAGTGCTCCCGGGCGGAGGAGATCTTCAACCTGCTGCAGGACCTGATGCAGAGCAACAGCATCAACGTGATGGAGGAGCCTGTCATCATCACGCGCAACAGCCACCCGGCGGGCTTTGACTTCCCGCGCACCCCCCAGCAGCCCACTGGTGAGGAGACCCCCGCCCTGTGTCCCCCTCGGTCTGGGTTCAGGAACCAGGCTGGCCGGTGGAGGCTGGCAGGCGGAGGCCAGCCTTCGGGACAGGTGCTAACTTGGAGAGCAGCGGGTGGAGGAGCCCGGGGCCAGGCCATCAGCGGAGCCCGAGGCCTAGAGTGGACGAATGGTTGGGAGCAGACAGGAAGACGGTGGGTTTCCATGGCGCTCTCTGCCTCTCCTGGCTGCTGGTGCCAGCATCTCGGCAGGGGTGCCATGCCTTCTGCAGGGGTCCCCAGCTTTCTGCCTCGTTCATTCATTCACTGAGACCAAACCCTGCTGGTTGGCCGGGGACGGGCAGAAGGAAGAAAACGTGGTCGTGTAAGTTCGGGGAGCTCACTGGTGCAGCCGGGCTGGGGTCGGGGTGCGCGGGGCGCCTGCCTGGGGCGCGCAGGTAAGGCCGTGATGGAGGACGTGAGCGGCGGACGAGGGCTCCTCACGGCCCGTCTTCCCCCGCGCCCAGCTCTAGGCTACTCGGTCTCCAGCTTCTCCAATGGCTTCCCGGGCTGCGCCGGCGACGGCCCGCGGTTCGCGGCCGCCCGCCACCCCTCGCTGGGGGAAGAGTCCACACACGCCCTCATCGGCCCCGACGAGCAGGTGAGCGCGGCCGCGGCCCCGGGTCCCCCTGTGCCCCTGGGCCCAGCCCCCCCCCCCCGCCCTCTGCCCCCCCCCCTCTGCCCCCCTCACCCGCTGCCCCCCTCACCCGCTGCCCCCCCCCCCGCCCTCTGCCCCCCCCCCTCTGCCCCCCTCACCCGCTGCCCCCCCCCCCCCGCAGTCCCACACGTACGTGAACACGCCGGCCGGGGAGGAGGCTGCCGCGCGCCGCAGCCGCTGCCTGCAGCCCCTGCCCGAGGCCCGCGCGCCCTGCCTCCCGCAGCCCCCCGGCCCCGCCCCGCGGGACGCCCGCGTCTTCCTGCAGCCGGGCCGGGTGAAGTTCGTGCTGGGCCCCAGCCTGGCCGGGCAGCCGGCGAAGTGCCAGGGCCTGTGCCCGGGCCCGCAGGACCCGGCCCACCCCCACCACAACAACAACGACGAGGGCGCGGCCGAGTGCCCGGCGCGGCCGCCCTGCGCCTACGAGAACGTGGGCGGCGCGGGCGTGGGCGCGGGCGCGGGCGCGGCGCCGCGGCGCGGGCCCGGCGCGGGCCTGGCGGGCCTGGCCGGCCTGGCGCCCCGCCGCCCGCTGCACTACGAGAACCTGCCGCCGCTGCCGCCGCTGTGGGAGGGCCCGGCCCGGCCCGACGACGCGGACTCCCGGGACGGCCTCACGCCCTCCTCCAACGGCTGCCCCGACGGCGAGGGCGGCGACGAGGACCAGACGCCCCTGCAGAAGCCCAGCAGCTCGCGGGCCGCCCGCAGCCTGGGCTTCCCCGCGCCGCGGGCCCGCCGCCGCGGCTCCCCCAGCGTCTTCAACTTCGACTTCCGACGGCCGGGCCCCGAGCCCCCGCGGCAGCTCAACTACATCCAGGTGGAGCTCAAGGGCTGGGGCGAGGAGCGCCCGGCCACCCCCGGGGCCCCGGCCCCCGCGCCCGCCCCGCACCCGGCCCGCAGCTCCGACTCCTACGCCGTGATCGACCTCAAGAAGACCGTGGCCATGTCCAACCTGCAGCGGGCGCTGCCCCGCGACGACGGCACGGCCCGCAAGACCCGCCACAACAGCACCGACCTGCCTCTGTGAGCCGCCCCGGCCTCCGCGCCGGCCTCCCCGCGCCGGCCTCCCGGGCTGCACCGCGGCCTCCCCCCAGCCCCCCAACCCCCGCCCGGAGGCCGCACCAGATGCTTCCCTATGCTGCTGGAATCCCCAAAGATGTCGGCCACCCAGTGCCCGGCCCCGGGCTGGGCGAGGAGGGGCCGGGGAGCCCCCCCCAGGAAACTGTGAAGGCCTCGGGGTGCAGTGCGCACCCTTCCCCGACGCCCCTCTGTCTTGTCTGTTGGCTGTCCGTGTGTTTTTGTTTTGTTGAGGGTTGGGTTGTTGTTGTTGTTTTTGGTTGGAATTTTGAAACATTTTGTACCTGTTGATTTTATTTATCAGTTTATTTTTCTATTTATTGTTTTAAATGTAATTTAACATATTTATTATTAATATACTTATTTTTAAATTCTGGCGCAGCGTGTGTTACCTTCTTGTGGGTCTCAGGAGGGCAGGAATAAACCGAATAGAGGTAGGCACTGCATTTTGGGAAGCCAGTGGTTTTGTGTGTGTGTGTGTGTGTGCGTGCTCACATGCATCGGTCCTTAGGCTTGAACTCAGGACCTGGGCACTATCCCTGAGCTTTTTTGCTTAAGGCTAGCGCTTCACCACTTGAGCCACAGCTCTACCTCTGGTTTTTTGGTGGTTCATTGGAGATAAGAATCTCAGTATTTTCCTGCCCTGGCTGGCTTCCTGTGATCCTCAGATCTCAGCCTCCTCCATAGTTAGGATTATAGGCCTGAACCACGGGTGCCTGGCAGTTGTGGCTTTTGTCACAGATCTGTGATCATTTCTTTATCAGCTCTGAGCACTTGTGGCGCAGAACTTAAGAATTCTCAGGGATGAGCTGGGAAGGTGGCTCAGTGGTAGAGCGCTTGCCTTGCATGCCTGAGGCCCTGGGTTCGATTCCTCAGCACCACATTAGCAAAAAGAAAAAAGCCGGAAGTGGCGCTGTGGCTCAAGTGGTAGAGCGCTAGCCTTGAGCTGAGGAGCTGAGGGACAGCGCCCAGGCCCAGAGTTCAGGCCCCATGACCGGACCCAAAAAAAAAGAATTCTCAAGGATGGATGCTGAAAGTCAAATGACAAGGCCAAGGAGATAGCTCAAGTGGTAGCGTGCCAGCCTAGCAAGCCTGAGTTTACAATCCCGGTACTGAAGAAAAAAGGGGAAAAGGAGGAGAGGAGAGAGAAAGGGAGAGGAGAAGGAATTGACTGGATGGCTGGAGTCCTGGAGACAAGACTGTGAGGTTGGCATGGACCCGGGGACGTGGGGAGCGTTCCCCTCTCTGGAACCCTTTGGGGCAGGCCCTGGGGGCATTGCTCTGTTTGAATACCTTGGCCCAAAGGGGGACAGTGAGTTCTCAGCTGCTTCAGCAGGGCAGAGTCCAGGCCAGAAGCTTTAAGCCAGACACTACTGAAAGACCAAAGTAGCAGAAGGGAACAATGTAATGTGTAACCAGGCTCTGCCTCCTCACCCCTCACACGGGGTCTTCCTCACATCCGCCCTGACCGCCGCAGTGTCTGTCTCCTCTCAAGCCACCAGGGGCTCCCACCTCGCCTAGGGTCTGACCCGGGGGCTCCCCCTTATGGCAGGAGCCCTCTTTCTGTCTGAGGCAAGTCCCTGGGTGGTTAAAGGCACTGATGGCTGGCACTGTAATCCTAGCTACCAAGAAGGCTAAGACCTTAGCCGGGCGCTGGTGGCTCACGCCTGTAATCCTAGCTACTCAGGAGGCTGAGATCTGAGGATCGCGGTTCAAAGCCAGCCCGGGCAGGAGAGACCGTGAGACTCCTATCTCCAATAAACCACCAGAAAACCGGAAGTGGCGCTGTGGCTCAAGTGGTAGAGCGCTCGCCTTGAGCTGAAGAGCTGAGGGACAGCGCCCAGGCCCAGAGTTCAAGCCCCACGACCGACAAAAAAAAAAAAAGGCTAAGACCTGAGGATCACAGTTCAAAGCCAGTGCAGGCAGGAAAGTCTGTGGGACACTTTTTTTGTTGTTGGTGGTGATCATGGGGCTTGAACTCTGGGCCTGGGCGCTGTCCCTCAGCTCTTCAGCTCAAGTCTAGTGCTCTATCACTTGAGCCACAGCGCCACTTCCAGTTTCTGAGTGGTTTATTGGAGATAAGAGTCTCATGGCTTTTCTTGCCCGGGCTAGCTTTGAACCTCAATCCTCAGATCTCAGCCTCCTGAGTAGCTAGGATTACAGGCGTGAGCCACTGGTGCCTGGCTTGTGAGACTCTCATCTCCACATAACCACCTGAAAACCAGAAGTGGCACTGTGGCTCAAAGTGGTAGAGTGCTCGCCTTGTGCAAGAAGAGCTCAAGGACAGCACTCAGACTCTTGAGTTCAAATCCCATCACTGACAAAAACAAAAACAAAAAACTGTAAATGGAGCTGTGGCTCAAGTGGTTAAAGCACCAGCCTTGAAGGAACAAAAGGGACAGTACCTAGGCTCTGAGTTCAGGCCCTGCTGTCAACACACACACACACACACACACACCACACACCACACACGCACGCGCACCCCTACACACACTCCACACATACCCCACACACCACACACACACACATACCACACACACACACCCTACCCCACACACACCACACACGCACGCGCACCCCCCCACCCCACATACCACACACACACCACACACACACACACACCCCACACACCACACACGCACGCGCACCCCTACACACACTCCACACATACCCCACACACCACACACACACACACCACACACACAAACCCTACCCCACACACACCACACACGCACGCGTACCCCCCCCACCCCACATACCACACACACACCACACACACACACACACCCCACACACCACACACGCACCCCTACACACACTCCACACATACCCCACACACCACACACACACACACCACACACACAAACCCTACCCCACACACCCCACACACGCACGCGTACCCCCCCACCCCACATACCACACACACACCACACACACACACACCCCCCACACCACACACGCACGCGCACCCCTACACACACTCCACACATACCCCACACACCACACACACACACCACACACACACACCCCCTACCCCACACACACCACACACGCACGCGTACCCCCCCACCCCACATACCACACACACACCACACACACACACACATACACACACACCACACACGCACGCGCACCCCTACACACACTCCACACATACCCCACACACCACACACACACACATACCACACACACAAACCCTACCCCACACACGCCACACACGCACGCGTACCCCCCCCACCCCACATACCACACACACACCACACACACACACACACACACCACACACACACACACGCGCACCCCCCCCACCCCACATACCACACACACACCACACACACACCCCACACACCACACACGCACGCGCACCCCTACACACACTCCACACATACCCCACACACCACACACACACACCACACACACACACCCCCTACCCCACACACGCACGCGCACCCCCCCACCCCACATACCACACACACACCACACACACACACACACCCCACACACCACACACGCACGCGCACCCCTACACACACTCCACACATACCCCACACACCACACACACACACACCACACACACACACCCCCTACCCCACACACGCACGCGCACCCCCCCACACCCCACATACCACACACACACCACACACACGCACACACACACACCACACACACACACCACAGAACCTAGCTGTTAACCAGGTGTGGTGGAAGATACCTGGAACCTGCCACACAGGAGGCTAAGGCAAGATCACCATTTGGAGGCCAGTCTGAGATACATACAAGTGCAAGACCAGCCTATGCTGTATAACAGGCCCCTATCTAAATAAACCAGAATCAGACAGGAACACCCAGTCTGCCCCAGTCTTCAGGCTCATGGCAGTTCTTTGTGAACCACTCTGGGAGGAGAGTTATCCTCATTCTCTAGGCCACAGATGCCCTGAGGGGGCACACACACACACACGCACACGCACACGCACAGAGCGATCATTGCTTTAGTGCATGTGGAGGGGGGCAGGTAGGCCCCAGGAATTGCTTCCCTGCCATTCCCAACGCAGGAATTTTCCTCTAGCAAAGGAGGGCAGCGTGTGAGAGTACAGCTTTCCTGGCAGGAAGGGGGGGGGGGGGCCGGCCAGCCGACCTCTGGGTGTGGTGTGCCGATGGGATCAGCCAACTAAACACCATCACCTGCATCAGCTGGGCTTGCGGAGGGCTCCCTTCTCTGCTTTAGAAGTGGGGGCCCTACCCAGCCCCCCGGGCTTCCCTCCAGAAAGGACTGGACTCTGGCATCCTGTCTACCAGTGACAATTCAGGTCGGACCAGGAGGGGCCCTCCCGAGCCCACCCCTGGGTAATAACAGCTCTTCACCGGGGGATAAACAGCCAGCGGCTTCCTTTACAGGGGCCTGCGCCATTTATCTGTCAGCCTCGCTGCTATCTCCCAGAGCACGGGAGGAAGCAGGCCAGGAGGAGAGCCACGGCCTCCCTGGGGCCAGGGGTTAATTAGTGGCTGGGCAGAGGCGGGATGCCAGTCGGGAGTCTCCTCCCCACCCCTGCCCCCAGCCTGCCCTCAGGTGAGCTGCACACGCTCGCTGCAAGTCTTCTGGATTCCAAGCCTGGGCTCTGAGTGATGGGCAGACAGGGTGGCCCTGCGCTCTCCCCGGCCTGCCCAGCACCCACTGCTCCCAGAGCTCTGTTCCTCCATCTCGCCATCCTCAGAACTGGCTGGGTCCGTGAGAGGGGACTGGGCCTCCTCCGCCCTGCTTTGCGCCCTCCATGCCTCAGCCTCCAGAGAGGCTGTTCTCAAGGGCTGAGGCCTGAGGTTCAGAACCCTGCTTCAAGCAGAGCCTTCAGCCCAGGACCTTCTAGACAACTCCTAGTGGGGCAGGTGTGGGGGCATGGATCTATAATTTCAGGCACTCAGGAAGGGGAGATTCAGAGGACTGATTTTTGAGGCCAAAAGTTTGATGTGTTTAGAGATTCCATCTCAGAAACTCGGCATGGCGGCTGGGAAGTGGCTTAGTGGTCGAGTGCTTGCCTGGCAAGTATAAAGCCCTGAGTTCAAAATCCCAGTCCTCATTCTTCTGAGCACACCGGCTCGGAAGCCCTCATTCCCTTCTGCTGGGTACGAACTCAGTTCCTGACCAGGGAAGCAGCGCATGCTGACGTGGAGACTTAGTGTCCCCATTTGGCTATTGGCCGTGCACAGATTCCTCCTCTGTGTCATGGGCCTGGCGCAGCCGCACAGCCCCAGGCTTG